AGATACAGTCCAGGCTCTGGGTTGACACCTGATTTTTAACACTGTCTGAATCGCCCCTGAGACCATTGTGTTCATGGGAAGTGGCTTCAAACGAATACATCCTGTAGTACAAGGTATTTTGATTTAAAATAAGCACTTTACTGTACCATGTGAATGATTGCAGTTCACCCAAGGCAACGTTTATGACCGTTGCTTTGGAATTTTGTATTGTTTTTCTAAAAAAAAAAAAAAAATGCAATAAAATGCTTTGAACAACATTCTCGTCTGGCCTGTCACTTTTTTCTTTTTGCTTGAAACCAGGAAAGGGAAAGACCTGTACTTTCCCTGCACTCTCAGTAGTTTCACATTAACTAGAAGGCTTATCTTCGGGCCAAGGCTGAGGCCGTTTCAGCTGAATCTGCTGTAAATCCCAGTATCAGTAACGCTCCCTGATAACGTGAGCCGTGTCACAGACGCCCTTGGCTGTTGGTAAATGTTTCTCACACATGGAAATATGACTGTGGTTTCATGACACGTTACTCACGCTTGCAGCAGTGGTGAGGGGAGGCGCTCTTCTCAGCCAGACGCAGACTGATGCAACCTGCTGCAAGAGCTGCAGCCTCTCTGCCACCTGATGATCCTCACAAAATCCCTTCTGCTGAATTAACGAAACATGTCAGTGTATGATTTCAGCAGGATCTGGCATCCTGTGATTAGTCAGCTGTGCAGATGGAAATATCTCAAGAGATGTTATCAGCTGGGCTTGGTCAAATGTGCGTGGAGAGAGGACAAAAATGATGATGCTGCACAAGAAATGTTCTGTGTGATGAAAGGGTCTCCAGAGTCTGTGTGTGGTTGGCAGTAACGAGGGTTACGGCAACTGGTTTAGAATGAACTGGCTAATGTGATTACTTGAACAATTATTTAGTCAAAACTGATCTTAAAAGGTGAAAAATGTCCTTCCTGATTCACAGTCGTGTCTTTAGATCTCTTGTTTATATCAGGCCGGTGAAACTAATGCTCAGTTATTTTTAATAAGATGATCACTACAATCTATTAGTGATATTTATGTCTGATTTAAACCAAACTTAAATGATCTGTGGGCCCCTGCTGACACTGTCGTCTCATTGGAGGGCCACAAAACAAACAAGAAAAAACCCACAAATATTTCCTGAAATGTTTTGTTTTTTTTAGATTTCAAATATTGTATGAGAAGACAAAACTGTAAACTAATTGAAGCCTTTCATTGAACTACCAAATAAACACACTGGTCCTCTCTTCCTGGCCACACGTGGCATCACTTCTGCTTTTATTTTGTTCGTATTTAATAAAATACAAATGCAGACATACGTGTACACATTAGTTTGTGGCTCTTTCACTGAGCTAACACAGCCGATCCCTCGGCATGTTTGTGCTCTCTGCTCATGTTGGCTTCATATTCAGTCATTTTTGGCGTTTTAAAGAACTTATTTTAACACCACACTCAACAACAGATGAATCCTCCCTAACAGTAAAAGTACTTTGTGCATTAGATTTCTTCACGTCAGTATACGGGCCACAACTAGGAGTGACGTGGGCCACAAGTGGCCCCGGGCCGCGAGTTTGAGGCCCCTTTTTTAATATATTAAAAATATATTATCAAAAGGGGGTTTTCAACTAGTACCCGTGCAGTCGTGGTGATGCTTTAACTCGTCCCCCTTACATGTGGACTGGCAGGACTTCACGCAGTCACTGCGTGGGTTTATCAGCGGAGGCCAAAACACACACATTCTCACACTGTTGCATAACTTCTTGTTCGGCGCAGAAAAAGCGTCAGAGGTCTGGAGGAAACTGCATGATGCAACAGCACTTTGTTTTCTGTGCGGTGTCCAGGAAACATGGCGTGATCCACGGGAACACCGCGCAGGTATTTGTCTCCCCCTGCTGTCCCGTTAAAGCATTTCAACGGGACGTGCAGGCGGGGTTAATCAGCTGCAGATAGCGGAATTTCAAGTCCCAACATTTAAACGTTCAACAGCATCCAGTTGATGTTATTTGTGCACCGTGTGCGTGCGCAGAGTTGTTTAGAAGGAAGGATTTCTCTAACATGAATCATATGAGCATGTTTATTAATAAGCTACAGGGCCTGCTGAAGTCTGTTTGTGTATCTTTAGATAAATTTGTGTCGTGGTTTCAGTCCATTTACTTTTGCTTTTGGTATGTTCCCTGTGAAAACAATCCGCTCTGTATTGACATCTGGTTTGCATTTTATAATAACAAATAATGGAGCCGAGTAGTTGCCTGTTTCACTTCATCTTTAACAGGATCATAGCTACAAAGATATCTGTGTATAAAGCAACGCATATCAGTTCACTGAAGGGAGTTACAATAAATCCGGTGAAATGAAAGCGTCATCTTTGAAGCCCTTCATGACGCCCTGTTATTTTTCTCGCCGCCGACACATTCGTGGCATTTTACAGCAAAGTAACAGGTGTAAGCAATACTAGCCAAATTCAATAGAGTATTTCTAGATCTTATCATTTTCATCCATGGTTTGATGAAATTTCTCTACAACTCTACAGCAGCTGCTACAAAATCCATTGTTGGACAGAGGCTCATTTTATTTCTCTAGTTTTGGCTCTGGACACCAGCACAGCGGACACTAAATCAAACAATCAAAATGTGACTGAAGTTTAACCAAAAGATTTTGCATTAACTACTGCAGAACAGACTAACAATCTTAAATGTACGGCTTATTTTTTAATACTTGAATGAAAATCTTTTTGAACTCTATATTGCCAAATGCCGTTTGCTCCCTTGAGATGCTCTGCCAGACCTTGTTTATGAGACTCTCTGCCTTGAGTTTTGTATTTAATAACTGAAAAGCGGCTCTGTTGGGTTGAAATCAGGTGACTGACTTGGCCACTGAATAATATCCCGTGTCTTATATGAGAAGCTCTTGGGCATTTCTACATATTTTGGTGATTCTGAGCAGAACGCATCGCCCTGCGCACTTTATAATTCATCCTGTTACTTCTATCGGCAGCCGCATCATCAGTAAACATCAGTGACAAGGTAACAGCCATACATGCCACAGCGTTACCTCACCATGTGTTAAAGATAAAATGGTATTCTTTAGATCATGAGCTGCTTCTCATCCCAGCTGTTTCAGATGTTTTCCTATAAAGTCTAATCCAGTCTTCCAGTTCTTGAGTGTAATCAGCACTCTAAACTTTGCAAGTCCTAAAAATATTTGTTTTTGGGGTTTTTTTAAATAAAAGGCTTTAATTTAAAAAAAATATCTACATTATCAATGGGGCAAACATTTTAAAATAGTGAGTTTGTTGAATGTTTTTGCTGTAGAAAAACAATAATGTGAACTTCAGCTTATGTAAAATTAAAAGCCAAACTATTATCCATAAGAATAAGTAAGAATGCGTTGAAGAATAAAGGGATTCATATGAAATACTGACTTTCAAACTCTTTTGCATAATCGAGGCTTTCTGTGTACATTTGCACATATCTTAATAAATCACTGCAACTGTTTTTTATTTCCATGCAAAGTATAAAGAAATAAGGAGTGGCTCACTTTTGCAAAGCACTGAAGTAAACCAGCCAAAGGTTCAGGCGTTGAAAGACTGCCAATTATTATGCTGCTCCTGCACACCTGAAGCTGAGCTGGATCTAACTGGTAGCGCTGTGCGATACTGCAGGGCCAGTATTGCCATACCAATACATGTAAACTATAAAGGGAGCTTGTATAGATGAGAGCAGTGTGTCCTGACTTATATGAATCAGCATTAGTTTTTTAAATTCTGAACACATTTTAATGACCACTAAATCACTGTTAACACAACAAAATACTCCACTGGTTTTGTTGCATTTTGAAAATTAGATGCGACAGTTAACACAAAAAAGTTAAGACATTTATCGCACTGCATGTTTCCCCCAAAAAATCCAACACAATTTTAACACAATTCAGTGCTACATGCTGAACTTTGAGGATTTAGTATCGATCTTATTGTGCTAGTATCGATCCCATACCAATACTAGCGTTGGTATCGGTACTATCGGTCTGCCCACCTCTACTAATTGAACCGAGTGGAGGGCACAAAAACCACGAGCAGCGCTTAGTTAGAAATTTGCCAGTGGAGCTGAAGGTAGGTATCACGTAGGACCACATTAGGAGCCGGCTAATGTTTTCTTTACCTGGAGGGTGTGCAATTTATTCATCTTTTTTTAAGGCAGTACAGGAAGTCTGGTTGATAGCGCCAACCACCTTCTAAATTATGTATTGATAGGTTACTCATTTTTAAACCCTCAAAGTTGTGACCATCCACAAATGCTTAATGTGGGCTCTAGAAAGATTAAATAAATGATCGAATCCAAAGGTTAATCGCATTAACAGGCTGTTTGGGTGTTCAAAGAAGTAGTTCCCTCATTTGAGACCTATTTTTAAGTCCGTAAGTTTGAGGCATTTATTTTTCTCGGCTAACTTAAAGATGGTGACTGAATAAGTTGGCACAATTCTCAAAAACACTGAGTTAAATCTGTACGGCCCAGATATGTAATTATTCCCCCTTCCTTAAACATTTTGCCCGTTGTAGTGGAAACGGCACAGGTGTTTTATCTAACGAGGGTTTCGTGAATGTTCCGAGCTCTAAAGGTGGACCAACATCTACAACCACCGTTGTTTGTGCTGTGAAATGGTTTCCTTATTTTCTTCCGCATCACCAGGTCTGTCTGTGAGATATCTGACTTATGTGAAATAAAATCTTGAAACACTTGTCTCGTTTACTTGGCTTTCGCACGGACCATGAAGGGCACATTCAGGTGTTCTGGAATTAGCTTGACTCGGTGTGCTTAAGGTTCTGGACATGTTCGGGGAAATAAATGAATAAATAGCCAACACATTGTGAGCTCCCGTATTATAAACGGAGAAGTGCCCGCCTCAATCCCTTTTCGAGTGGAACAGTGACGGGGTTCGAGGAAAACGGCCGTATATTTGACTCGTTTCTACGCTCGCCGTGTAGCGGAGACGTTACGAGTCGCTGCGAGCCAACCTCACGCGAGATTTCGCTGCTCCTGACCGATTCAACATGGCGCCGTAGGAACGTTGTTATTGTTCCGTCGCTCCTGCTAGCTCTCGCTGTCCGACTAAAACTACGTAGATAAAAAAAAGGCCGAACGCTTTCGTGCGGGCATGAAAGGAGCATCTGGGGATAATGTTAAGATCCACCGGCTTCTTCCGAGGGATTGACTGTCCGTTTTACGCGGAGCACAGCGAGGGCCAAGGCGGCAGGAATGGGTGTAACAGACCGTACTGTCACTTCAGGCACAGCCAGCAGAGACGGCCGTCCTACGGAGCACCGGCAGATGTTAAAAAGCAGAGAGACCTTCCCTCCGCACACAAAGGTGCTCGGCATTATTCTGTCAGTTACTGAATGGACCTAAATACGTGTTTGCACAGTTTGTAGGACGAGTGTGGAGTGGCACACGGTGCTGTGGACGTGTGGGAACTGGCAAATCACAACCAGAAGCCCTGGCAGACGTGTTATTGTTTATATCGTGGATGCGGAGTACATTAAAAAAAGAAAACCAAACCAACCTTTAAGGACGTGTAAAATAACCGCAGGCAGGAAATTGCAGCAGCGCACATATTCTGATGTACTGCTACAAAATTAGAATATTGCACACATGACTGCACAAAGCGAGGCGTGAAAAACGGGACTGAAGCACCAGATGAGGCGGTCACAGAGCTGTTAATGTGAGCTCATGTAAAGCAGTGAGGGCGAAAAATGTTCTACTGCACTTGTAGCAGAAGGTGAGGCGTTCATGACCGATTCGCTCTCCAGTAGCTGTTCTGATCTCTACAGTGTGTTCAGAGGCGTTAAAAAGACTGTGGCACATTCTCCTCGAAGAATGCTGCTCTGCATCCTACTGGACTTTGTTATATTATATGGTAGTAATGAGCATTTCCAAGTAAACATTTAGGTTTTAAAATGGGGGGAAAAGAAAGCAGAAAATGTTTTAATTAAATCTGGAAACGACCACATTCCCACACTTTGCTCATTCCTTTGCCTGCTCCCTTCTTTTCCTCTTCCCTTCTAGCCCCGTCTTTTACCTGCGCTATTCCCTCCTCTGCACATGCGCAGATCACTTTGTATCCAGTCTGCTCGACCTGAGCTGTGCCTCTCATGTACTCATTTCTAATCCTGTCCATCAACATCCGGCCACCTTCAGCTCCCAAGCCACACAGCATAGCAGGTCTCACTAACATCTACTCAAGCATGCACACGTTTCACTCATCCACCTTCATTCTCCACTGTTACACCTGTCTCCCTCTCATTCGTCGTGTATTCTGTCCTGCTTCTACTGACTCTGATTCTTCTTCTCTCCGGAGTGTAGCTCCACCTGCTGCTAACTCTCACATCCACGTCCCTGTGCAGTTCTCCTTAAACCTTTAACGCTTCCATTACAGAGCCTCTGAAGCTTTCTGTGCCATTTGTGTCCATATTTAAACTCAACTCACATGGTGATAGTTGTGATTATGCTCTAGTTTAACTTGATCTAGCCAACTGCATCTGATGGGAAGAACTTTATCTCGCTCTCCTTCCATCAGTCTAACAGTGACCTCACCGTCTACAAATATTTGACTACATAAGGCAACAATCATTTCCACAGATTGAGTGAGTGGCCTGTAAATTATTGCAGGAACACTGAATTTTCTACATACAGGGACAGAGAAACGGCTGCAGTGTGAATGCATCACTTCCTGGTTAATATTTGACGTGCTTAACGAGTTGGTTGTATCCGGTCATTTCTATTTAAAATGCACACAGTAAATGATCACTTTTATTCTTCCCTCCAGATCAAGGCTACGATCCCTTCAATCCTGAAGTAGTGAGACCGCAGGAGCAGCAGAATGGCAAGCCGGCTGCCTCGGGCGACATCAGTGGCGCCTTGGAGCTGGTCAACAAGGCCATCGAGGAGGTCCGGAGTGAGGTGGAGCGGGAGAAGAGGAAGCTCTCTCGGATTGGGGATGAACCGTACAATCCCAGCGAGAACGCCAGCTTGTCTTCGGGCAAGACGGACACGAGTAAAGCGGCGGGTTCGCACTTGGCCTATGATCCCGGGAGTTATCAGATCACATCAGGAGGGTATAATCCCACCCCTGGCTGCAGCAAGTACACCTTGGATTCAGACAATCAGGGGCACAACAGCAACTCTATGGAATATGTTCCCACGTCGCTGAAAAGGCCTTTGTCTCGGACACACTCGCACCAACCTCCTTCTCCTCCTCCTAGCCCAAAGCGTTCGAATAGCACGTCCTCTTCAAAGTGCAAATACACTGTGGATAATTCTAGGCCATCCACGGACATGGAGTACGACCCGCTGTCCAACTACTCGGCTGGAATCGCTGTGAAAAACAAGAGGAGTGAGGGCGCTCGGCCCGTCAGGACAGAAGGCAGCAAGGCGCACAAGCTGTCGGGCTCGGAGTTTTCCGATGAGGACTATGTCGTAGCTGCGAAAAAGCCACGGCAGCAAAGCGTAGACACAAAAAAGTACACCTTCTCTGACTCTGATGGGGAGAGCTCTGGGGCAGAGTATCGCCCCACCTCGCTTAGCAATCTGCAGCAGAGAAAAGCCGCCCACGGCTCAGACTCTTTTGGGAAGGGGAGAAAAGGGAGTGGTGAAAGTTTGCTAAATGCACTGATGCAGAGGAATAAGCAGGACTCTGACACCCAGGAAAATATTAAAAGAAAGGACAGCCCAGAGAAAAAGAAGAAAGAGGGAGGTCAGACTAGTCAGGAGAAAAGTAGCAAGACTGAGAAACTACATAAACTTGAAAAGGGAGCAAACAAATCATCCGGTAGTAAGAGTAGCGTCAGCAGCAGCAGTAAAGACAGAGGGTCGATAAAAAGCTCAAACCAGGATTCGGCGAAAAAGGAGAACAGGAGTCACGACAAGAAAGACGACAGGAAGAACACAGTGAAGGTTAAGATGTCGGATAAAATTCGCAAGGAAAGCAGGGACGAAAAGAAGAGCGACACCAAGTTGAAAACTTTGGATAAAGTGAAAACGGACTCGAGCAAGCAAGATAAACATGCAGAAAACGGCGCGAGGGAAAGCAAGAAGCCCAAAACATCAGACAAGGAAAAGGAACAGAGCAAATATAAAGAGCATCCCCACAAAAACGGGAAGCTCGATGGTATTAGAAGAGAAAAAGATGCGAAAAAAGTTAGCAAAAGCGGTTCTAGCAGCAGTAAAGCGAGCCCATCGAACAGCAAAGATAAAGCGAGGCAAAGCGTCGGCGCTTCGAGTGTAAAGAGACAGAGTTTGAGTCTGAGCCACGCTGATCTGTTTGGAGACGAGAGTCCGGACGAGGCCGAGCAGATGGAGGCGGACTACGACGACGAAACCGAGGAAGTCCTGGTGAGGAAATCTGCCGACGCCTTAAAGAGGACTCGTCTAAACAAGAGGAAAGCGTCGGAGCTGACTCCGTCCTCCTCAGAGGACGAGGGCGACCGCGACGTGGACTGCAGCAGGGCGGGCAGGGACGAGGTTCACGGCGTCAGATTTGACCTGTCCGGTTTCCAGGACGATCTGGACTTTGACTCGGATCCCATGGAGGAGTGTTTGCGGATCTTCAATGAATCCAAAGACGTGAAGAAGGAAGACAAGGGAAGGCAGGCCAAGCAGGTGCTGATGTCTGTCGCGCTTTAGCCGTTTCCTTTTTTTTGCTAATGAATTTGCTTTGATTTCAATAGAAATGTCGTGTTGTGCCCTCTCAGCAGCACTCTAGGGACTCAGAGGAGGAGAAGAGCACAGACAGCACTTTAACCACTCTCTTCCCTGGTCAGAAGAAGAGAGTCTCCCATTTTGTTGCCAAAGGAAATGTAAGTTTCTTCCAGTGTTTTTGTTTTCCCCGTCCTATAATCTCACAGTCAGGACCGGCAGCAGGTGTCTCCGAGGTTGCTCGTTATATAAAGAGTGAGTTTTGTGCACGGTGTCGCACACAACTACAGTTAATCATCTTACGACCTGCAGGCTTAGTTTAATGCTCATCTTTGATTGGGATATGGAGAAATAACACGTATTGCACAGTGTAACCTTTGACCCGGCTTTTCTTGCTGACGAGTCCAAGGAGACATCTTTAAATGTCTTTGATCAAAACCCTGAAATTTTACTATCATCCGCTGTAAGAAGAAATACAACAAAAACAACATAAAAGCTATAAAGGTTTCAATTTACATGTCCCTAAACTAATGAACTACTTTAAGTAGAGTACTGGCAGTTGAATAGTGCCTCTACCTGTTCCTATAACACCAATAATATTTGCATACTAAACAATAGGTTTTTTATGAGGGGTTAAACTCGATAGAAACACCACAATAGAAATAGAAAAACACGCGGCAGAAGTTTGACACAGCGAGGAAGCTACAGTAAGAGGAGGAACGGGAGGTTCAGGGCTTCTTTGGCTGAGGAGGAGTTCGTCATTACCACTTGAAGTCGAATGTTTGCGGCTCGTTCACGCTTCTGTTGTCTCTGTTCTTTAAACGCCGGAGTCACGGGGAGGCCAGACAGCAGACCTCGCCTCGACTCCGTGTTATTTCAGTGCAGGTGTGGGTTCGGGAAACGCGGCGGGCGAGGAAGTAAAGAGCGAGAAGGCGATCTGAGGCTGTCGGGGCTTTCCGCTCATGATTTGTCAGTAGTTAGCCAGTAACTGCTCGACTGGGCGTTTCCATACCTGTGGTGACAAAATGGTCAGCAATAATTTGGGTGATCTAATCAGCGGGTGTCAGCTGACTTTGAAGTGTAGCTTTTTTTTTTATTGCATCATCAGCTCTGTTCTGAGCAACCAAAATAACATTTTTCAGTTTTTTAATCTAAGAAATAAATTCGGCTTACATGTGGCAACCTGTGAGCTCTAACCTCTGACTCACAGTTTCATAGAGGAACTGCCTCCAGACTGATCTGTAACGGTTTGTGTTGTATGTACGTCAGCGCCTTCACTTTTAGATAAAACTTCCTGTTGTCGTTTTTCAGACCGATGCACCTTCCAGGACTGCGGTACGACCGTATAAGAGACCCACGGCCCAGGAGATCTGCTACCAGCGTATGCAGATGGCCCAACAGCAAGCGGCTCAGCTCTCTGCTTCGGTCAAAGCAGCCACACAGGCCTCAAGCCCCAGCTTCTCTGGAGAGAGGAAGAGAATAGCGCACCGTCCTAACCCTCAGATAGCATCCTCCAAAACAAGTACGAGTGGCTCGGTTTTCTTTGCCAAGAGGCAGAAATGGCAAACACCTAGATTTTAAACGCTGACGTTACATGTGTGTCTTTCTGATTTAGGTCCCGCAGACACTAAACATGCTGCAGGTCGCGTGTTATCCCCCAGTCACACCCTTCAGAGTGTCAAAGCTCAGACCACAGTCGGTATTTTGTCCAAGACCTCGTCTACCGTCACGCAGAAGAGGGTGGCGCACACACCCACCCTGAAGGTATCCCGAGCTTCCTGTAACCTGAACAGTGTTGGTCAAGTTACTTGAAAAAAGTAATCAGTAACTAATTACTGATTACTTCCCCAAAAAAGTAATCCCGTTACTTTACTGATTACTTATTTTCAAAAGTAATTAATTACTTAGTTACTTAGTTACTTTTTAAAAACACGATTTACAACCTGAAAGGTGATAAAGCGATAGATCTTTCAGCCCAATTCTACTTTTTCTGCATAATCCATCATACAAAATGTAATCAAATGGAAAAGTCTCTTTTTAAAACTTGTTTTATTAGTTTTAATCTTTTAACTTTATGCATCAAGCAAAAATTTAATTATCTGCAACATTCTCTGACTGGAAGAAATTAGTTTAACATTTAAACCTATTTTCTGCACATTCCAGCACATAAAATAAAATATTTTGTGTGTTTACACTCAGTCTTTCAAATAGATGCAAGTAAAACACAGCAGAAAATAAATAAAGTCAAAGACTCAGCGGTCCTGTTGCTCTATTTTCACCTGTAAAGCAGGAGTGGGGTTACAAGTAACGCGTCACTGCCCATCTCTGAACCTCATGTGTCGGATAGTTTGCGCACGTGGCTTGAAGTCATTGTTCTCTCTCCGTTTTGACCTTTTCAGAGTACTTCAATGAGGCGTCCTGTCATCCCCACCGAGTTCGGGGCCAAAGTTCCCACCAACATCCGCCAGCGCTACCTCAACACTTTCATCGATGAATGCGTCAAGTTTTGCCCATCAGAGGACGGCGCCTTCCAAATGGCATGAACAGCACATTTGAAACAGCCTAGGCTGTTTTTGTTTTGTATGAACCATAGAAGGTGAAAAACATGGACGTAGCTACAAACCTGCATTCTATCTAAAGACCACCAGATGGCGATAGCTGTGGTCCTGTAGAAGCCTGTGGGGGAAGCGGCTCACCGAACACTTGTGTGTTCATTTTATGGGCTCAGTCACTCATATCGGGTCATTTTAAATAAAAAATTAGGTCTATTTTAAAAATGGTGATCATATTGTGTATGAAAATGGAACCGCACACTCGTTGCCTCTTTGCATCACTTTTGGTTTTTGAAACCAAAGTGGCGTTGGCGGGGAAACGGTCTTCACAAGGCTTTAAAGCGGGACTTGAGACACCGCCAGTGTCGCAGTAGCTACGTCAGTCTTTTCTGCCCTCCGTGGTTCTGATGGTGGATAAAAACCGTTGATGTGCTGCAGCGGTGTAAGCGGAAAGTCTCGTTTCAGGCCCTCGATGAGGAGAAGCTGGTGTACGAGCGCAGTAGCAGTAAGAACATCTACCTCAATGTAGCTGTCAACACGCTAAAGAAGCTCCGGAGCAAGAGCAGCGCCAGTCCGTCTCCCGTCACCAGTAGGTCACCAGTAGGGGTTTCCCATACACGTTACAGTGGAGCTCTTTACATCCACAAACAACGACGTGAGTGCAGCAGAAGTAGCAGGTTTTCCATATACAGTAAACATTTGCTGTTTTTTGTGTTTTCCCCGCAGAGGAGCCGGGGTCAGTAGCTAAAAGGAAGCCACAGTCCCACGAAGAAGTTCTGGGAGGTCGTCTTGCTGCCACAACCAGCTTCACTGTAAACAGGACGGGTAAACAGCAGGAGGAGAAACTCATCGGTGAGAGGACGAGTCCGATTTCACGCCGCTCTTTCTCCGGCCTTGTTAGGAACGTTTCCTTCCTCCTTTTGGTTTGCAGATTAAACATCTGATAAAGTGAAAAGTGCAGGACAGAGAGAAGCTGAAAGATTCTTTGTGTCAAGCAGAGACTTGTTTACTTGTTGAGGCGCTTTTACTTTAACAGTGAAGCTGTTCAGATGGTCTTGTGACTGTTTACCACCAGCTACCTGCCCCGTGACCCGACGTCAAATGCAGCGTGTTTACGAGACTTTTTCTAAAGGGATCATTCACTGATCAGCAGCAACTAAAAAATCCTGTGATATGTTTATAGAGCAGTAGGTAATTCAATTGAATCAGCTGCGGTGGAAATAATCATTAGATGTAACCTCAGATCGTCTGAGCTCATCTCGAGAAGAATCGCAGTCGCGTCGACGATTGCTGTCGTCGTCCTGAGTTTTCAGCGTCTGTGCAAAGACGTCATTTAGGTGTGTGCGTCTCCCTGCAGGAGCCACACTGTACAGGAAGATGAAGGCGTACCTGATGACAGAGGAGCAGCTCCAGCTGCACGGATACCCGCGGCCGAACCCCGAGGCCGCCGGCAAGGCCGTCGTTTACAACCAGCCCGAGAAGAAGGGCGTCGCAGACCGTGAGTGACGCTCCCGCTTCTCCCTTAATCGCTGTTAAACTGTGAATTCATGTTAACAGCAATATGAACGTGATCTGTTCTTCTGCAGCGTTTAGCAAGATATGCTGTCGATGCGGCGCAGAGTATAAGGTCAACGTCAACGGCAGCTGCGTGCGGAAGGAGGAATGCAGCTTTCACTGGGGACGTTTGCGCAGACACAAAGGTGCGTTTGCTTTATTCATCAGAAGAGCATCCCATCAGTCTCCCAGTCGGCACCTCAGCCATCTTTGCCTTTCCCTTCTGCTTCTCATTCACTTTCTTTCATTTATTTTTATCTGCTCCTGTCTGTCTCCTCTCTTCAAGTTGCTGGAGGCTGGGAGACCAACTACAGCTGCTGTGCTGCAGCTGTGGGCGCTCCAGGCTGCCAAACGGCCAAGGTACCCTTAAAAGAAAGCACTACATAACAGGACAGCACACTCCCCATCTACATGTATTAATACTCCGTGTATTTAATACAACACTGTAAAGACTGAAATATCTTCTATATGTGGCTTTTTGGACCTTTCTTCATTCTTTTGGCAGAATTGCTCCATCTCATACAGGTTGGAGGGGAGCACTGGTTTTCTGCCGTTTCCAGTTCCTTCTACAGGTGCTTGATTGGTCCTGAGCTGGGACACTCTTGTGGTTTCTTGCTGGTGTGTTTCAGGTGTCTTGTTTAAGTTTCTTCTTCTGGGCCTGAAATCTTCGCTCAGACACTCTGTAGCTTCCTGCGTCCACCTTCACGTCTCTCACCTCGGGTCCCCTCCGCAGGAAAACATCAGCGTTGTGCAAAACTGTACCAACTGTATTCATGAACTGATGCTAGGCGCTCTGCGTCATCAACATACGCCTTTGGGAACTTTAACAAAATAGATCAGCCGTTGTTTCAGACCGCAGGACTTTTTCTTCTCGTGGCCGGAGTCGCCTACATCGAGCTGCCTTTCAGCCACTGGCAGCAGGCTGTTCATGCTGTCCTGTGTCTTCACTGTGAGAAGTGTTTGCTCTGACTTTTCCCGTGGAGCTGTGACCAAGACGTTTCGTCCCACATTAGTCAGATCCAGGACCGTTAATGTTTCCCATCATTGTCTTTTTTAATGTTGCAGAGGTTTTCTTAACATCCTCACATCTGCGCTTTGACACAATCTTGTCTCACAGGTGTGACGACAACACTAATCGGGCATAACATTATGATTGTCTCTTCACCGCGGCGCCGGCTAATTTAGGGAGCAGTGAGCATTTTGTTGTGTCAGAAGCAGGAAAAATGATGAAGTGTAAAGATGTGAGTGAGTTTGACGGGGGCTGCATGACTGGGTCAGAGCATCTCCAAACTGCAGCTCTCGTGGGTGTTTTGGGTCTGGAGGAGTCAGCATCTATCAAAGGTGGAGGAAGGAACAGCGGTGGACCAGCGACAGGGTGATTGATGTATGTGGGGACTGAAGGTGTGTTGCTAACATCTTGGTCTGAAGCATCATAAACCTGACAGCTAAAAACGGTTTAAAGTAATAAAGTGTGCATAGATGTGTATAAAGTGCAGGTATGAAAGCACCCGATAAAAAGAGCAGGCGTGCACGTTCAGTTTCTTTTCTTTGTTTTTCTGTCTGAATGTCAGTAAAGTTTTCACCTTTGAAGACAGATTCCTCGTTTGTGTCTAAACTTGGCTGTAACTGAGAGAAATAACAAGGAAGCAGCAAAGTGCCAGTCGTGATAAGAACTGGTTTGTGGTCATGGTGCAAAGAATCCTGCACATTGCACGTCTCCTGCCGATGACCTTTCCGTGACCTAAACGCAAACTCGCAAGGTCGAGAAAAGACGAGAAGAAGATTTCTTGCTGAGAGCCGCGTTGTTCAGAATCTACTCGCACAAAAGTACCTGATAACACGCCGACAGACGTGTTTGATGAGAGTCCGCTTTGTTAAAACCAGAACGTCCTGCAGATGGAGTACAAAGGTGCATCTTAGATAGGCGGAAAGCACAACTTCGTCACCGGGGTTGGAGTTACTCGTTGCAGCTGTTCATCCTGCTGCGCCTTCATTAAGGCTTCTCTGCGATGCCTCCAGCTTTTTAACTGACAGCATAAATCATACAAGCTCATAATCTTGATTTATTAAGTCTCACCCAAGGCAACAACTTCATAAGACGCGGATTTTATTAAAGCAGCGTCGTGTTCAGAGTTCAGCGGTGGGTTAGAGGTCGGTTCAGAGTGAGATGGACACGAGTCACTCATGGTTTCAGTTGATGTGTTGAATCACAGCAGGGCGCTGCATCGATTCGACCTGCGGGACGGAAACACCGAAGCCCCTTTGCTTAATATCTGGAGAATTTAACCAGCTCTCATTACGGCTGCAGTGCAGCTGCCTCCAGGTCGTTTCACTCAGAGACTTTTGTATCGTCCTGCTCTTATCTAGCAATGGATTAGCAGGAGTTGATAAAAAGCCAGCACACTCGGGGACTGATCTGCTCTTTATAGAGGTTGAATTGACCTTTTTAATACCTTATGTTACATGCATCCCTGTTTATTTACATATGTACATATTACTAAGTTTATCGGACCTAAAACGGTTCCCGTCCCCACAGCAACACGTTCAGGACGGGCGTAAAGAATCACTGGACGGCTTCGTGTCGACCTTCAGCAAACCTCTGCCTCCAGATGGAAACGCAGGGGTGTTTGCTCTGGACTGTGAGATGGTGAGTTCACCACCAAATTCAGTTTTGTGCGTTTTTATAGTTAATTTATTGAGTTTATTGTTGATTTATACATAGTTTCACCTGTGAAAACTTGGCAAATAATTATGCTTTTATGCTTTTTTTGTTACTTATATGTTTGCTAAAGAAAATCTTTATTTCAAAGAGAGTCTCTGTGTAGAAATGATGTTGTTTCTTGTCATTTATTCATTTTTCCCCCACCTGTGGAAACAGTGTTACACAAAGCAGGGTCTGGAGCTGACCAGGGTGACGGTCATCAACTCAGAGATGAAAGTCATCTACGACACGTTTGTGAAACCTGAAAGCAAAGTGGTGGACTACAACACGCGGTGAGTCCTCTCCGTTCACCCCGTGACCCGGCAATATATCAGCCGGCTTTTGCTGCTTAACTAAACCAACAGTGATCTCGGGTCTGATTTTGATCTCGTGTGTGACTCACAGGTTTTCGGGTGTAACGGCGGAGGATCTGGAGAGCGCCGCCATCACCCTGAGAGACGTTCAGGCCGTGCTGCTCTCCATGTTCAGCGCTGAATCCATCCTGATAGGACACAGCCTGGAGAGCGACCTGCTCGCTCTGAAAGTGAGTCGCTTCTTCACTGAAGAAAATTTAAAGCAGTTTCATTTTTCCTTTTTCCCCTTCAGCCGTCCACCCAGCTGTGCAGGTTTCCTGAAAGTCTTGTGAATATCATAACTCGAACAGGATTTTATATCGTGAGTGCATCTGCTTGGAGGGTGAGAGGTAGCGCTGGTGGAGGACGTCCTCCCTCTGCTTAAAATGTATTAACTTAACCCCACGAGGTTTACCAAACGGTCACTGCAGTGAGTTTTTTAAAAGCTATGATGTAACAGCGTGGGTGCTTTCCTCTCTGGATTGCAGCTCATCCACAGCTCGGTTGTAGACACGGCCATCGTGTTTCCTCACCGCCTTGGTTTGCCCTACAAGCGTGCCTTGAAGAACTTGATGGCTGATCACCTCAAGCGCATCATCCAGGACAACGGTGAGAACGATGTCGTTGATTTCTTTGTAATTCTTCATAAAAATTGAGCACCGCAAACACCGGTGTTTCTCAGCAGCATCTAAACTGATCTGTGTGGAAAATGACATGAATGTTGTTTGAATTGCTCCGATTTAGTTTGGACGTTTTTGGAAAATTAGGAATGGGGGTGGAGCCTGTGAGGGCTGCGATGTGCACGGTGTCACACACGGTGTTTCAGGATGAAAAGAGTAAATTGCTGGTAAATCTTTAGGGGAGGACGGCTCTTCAGATGGATGCTGCTCCAGTCATTTTATGAAGTGGGTGAAATAATAGTTAAATGATTCAATTATAACAGCAGTTTCATGGGAATGTAGTAAACCTGGAGGGTCCAATAAAATGAAACTGAGCAGCTATAAATTTAAACTCATGAGTGGAAGCTCATCTCACACAAGTTTTAATTCTGCTGGTGAAAAAGACAAAGTGCTTCAGGTCTAACTGATGTGACTGCAGTGTGACCGTGTCACCAGCAGATGTCGCTGCAGAAGCCCGAGTGTTTGGGGAGAAATCTGTGTTTTTGACCTGAAATACAAACGTCCGCCTACGACAGCAACAGCTTCTCGTCCTCAGTCATCCAGGTCACGGTGGCAAGAAGGCACCTGGACTTTGTTTTGTTGGTAAAGGCTTTTCAGCAAAGAGGCTTCTTCATGTCTGAACACATGGTGTTCACAAACCAAAAAGAAGTCCACTTGCCTTCATTCCAAGTACTCAAGACTCTTATTTGTCCACTGTGAACGACCATCTTTGAACAGAGGGCGGGGCCTATGACACCAACTGTCTGCCATCGATAATCCAGTTCTGAGATCCTTCCCAGACGCCTCAACGCCCACTCACATCCTGGGCCCTTTGACCTCAGGAAATCACATGATAGGGTGGGGCCAGGTTTCCCAATGGGTTCACCTGAAACCCTGGCTGATTGTGACCCACACCCGTGTTCACACCTTGGCTCGTGTGATTAGGTAAAAGGATCATCAGGGGCTCCATTGTCCCTCTTGGTGATTTACTCCCACAGAGCTTAAACTCTCCACCATTTGACCCTAGAACTGAAGAAGCTTCTCGGATGAGAGGTGAAACGTCTTCAAGCAACTTAAACAAGTCCAGACGCTTTTCTTTCCAAGCTCCTTAGACTACGATGACCTGGATGACTGAGAACCTTCACAGAGACTCTTATTTTTGCTGTTCTTCTAGCAGATTTTCATCCTGGCCTTCAGTCAGGAGTCGGTTGAGTTTCTTTGAAGAGCTGCTTAAAGGGATTATTTTACTCATTAAAGTCACTTTACGTGTGTTGGAAGTTCTGAGAGCTCTTTGGCTCCGCTGGCTCCAATGACGGGAAACGTAGGAACAAATGGGGCTTAAAAAGAAGACGATGTTTCTTCTTTGTTTGTAACTTGTGCGTGTCTTTTCAGTGGAGGGCCACGATTCGAGCGAAGATGCAACTGCCTGCATGGAGCTGATGATCTGGAAGATCAAGGAAGACGCAAAGGTCAAAAGATGACCTCTGACCCCTCTGCTCTGTTCTTCAGTATGATTTCCTGCTTTCATGCTGGTTGCAGGCGGACAGAAGTTCAGGAGGAATGCACTTGCTCTCACTAAGAACCTGTGGTCAGAGGATCGGGGGAGGGGGGGCATTGAGCAGAGTTTGACATTTTAATCAGTAAAAGGCTGAGAGGTGATGATGCTGAGAGGAGCTCGTGATGATGCTGAGAGGAGCTCGTGATGATGCTGAGAGGAGCTCGTGATGATG